AAGTGACTTATTTTCACTTTACAGGATGGTTGGTTATCTGGTTGGTTTGGACGTCTGAAGAAAAATGGTCCAAAGAATATTCATCTACCGGATGATTCTAAACCTTCTGTGAGTAATAACAGTAGTAGTAGTATGAGTAAATAGTACTAGTGGTACTATTAGTAGTAGTTGTAGTTGAGTTGTTATAAATCTGCCTTATGTTGTATATTCGTTATTACTTACTTACTTACTTACTTAATTACGTCTGTTACCCCCTAATGGAGCATAGGCCGCCCACCAGTTTTCTCCAACCAACTCTGTCCTTGGCTTCCCTTCCCAGTTCTGTCCAATTTTTGTTCATTTCTCTCATATCTTTCTGTATTTCTCGGTGTAATGTGTTCCTTGGCCTTCCTCTTTTCCTTTTGCCTTGAGGGTTCTCCAAGTGAGGGCTTGTCTTGTGACGCAGTTAGGTGCTTTTCGTAGTGTGTGTGTCCTATCTACAAACTCCACCGCTTCTTCCTGATTTCCTCCTCCACTGGAATCTGGTTTGTTCTCTCCCACAGTTCGTTGTTGCTGATGGTGTCTTGCCAACGAATACGAAGTATTTTGCGTAGACAACTGTTAATAAACACTTGTATCTTCTGGATGATGGCTTTGATAGTTCTCCATGTTTCCGCTCCATACAGTAGAACTCTCTTGACATTTGTATTGAAAATCCTGATTTTGGTTTTAGTTGAAAGTTGTTTAGAGTTCCAGATAGTTTTCAACTGTAGAAATGCAGCCCTTGCTTTGCCAATTCGCGCCCTCACATCTGCATCGGATCTACCTTGATTGTCGATGATGCTGCCAAGTCATCTCCATGAAGAGTGATTTGGTTGATGCATGTTGTGTTGCATCGGAGAATTTTGCTTTTACCTTTATGTATGTTGAGACCTGCTGCTTCGTTGGTCGTCTTCTCTTGTATTTGTTGTTACGTGTACGATAGTAAGAGCCAGGTCATCTGCGAAGTCCAGATTGTCCATCTGCATCCTACCTGTCTATTGGATACCGTGCTGCCTTCCAGATGCTGACGTCTTCATAATCCAGTCGATTATAATCGTAATTATTTGCTTACTCTACACTAACTAAACTAACTGACTCACTAACTAACCAACCAACCAACCTAACCATTAACATATATATACACACGCACACACACACGTACTACGTTTGCTCTAATTCCGTTATAATCCCTTAAATTTCCAATTTCACCACTATGACCTTGTTATGTTTGTGAAGTAGTTGCATTAAAAACTCATTTCTTACTTTTTTTGTGTGTTCCGAGTTAATTAATTTACAGTATGTGTTATATGCATCATTTTTTGCCTAAATTGACCGGGATTTCTTTGCCTCTCGATTTGTGAATGATTCAATAGTTCTGTTAACTCTCATGTTTGATGTGTGTTTTTTTTCATACTTCTATATCTAATGAGCCTTTCATCAATCATTTCATCCTTGTTTAATGGGTTTTTTTTTCTTCACTAACACGATAAAAAAATGATGATTTGTGTTGTTGGTTGAATTTTGCAGCGTGTAGGTGTATGTGTGAGTTCATGAAGCTGTTTTTCTGCGTATTCAGAAAGCTGAACTCAGTATATTTCATACCTGTGAGTGAGCGCTTTATCTACAGACCATTAAGTTGGCATGCAATGCTTTACACTTTTAACTTCAACCAATTGCTTTAATGGTTCAATACCGGAATCGTATACCTTCCTAGCGGTATTTAGTTTCTCATTGGCGACCTAAGTACAATTACCCGGTTTGTAAATCGTGACGAACCAAGAAAGCCATTGTTAGTAGGACATAGATGGATTAAAGCATGACTGTGCTAGCTGCGCGCTGATTGGTTAATTTCCTATCCAATCAGCGCCTGATCGATTCTTGGAGAACAAGATAGAAAATTCTCATGTTGTTAGCTGCACTCTGATTGGCTAAATCTAATCCAGTCGATCATGTGAATTACTATCCACAAGCTTCTCATGTAAATACCATAAAGAAACTAACGTTGTATCTATTTTCGCCTTCGCCTTCGGCTTCTTATTTCCATTTAACCTTTGCTATTTGGAATATAATTTTTGCCTGTTCCACCGTGTTTTTGATTCTTTGGAACTTGTCCAGTGCGTTGTGTGGTCAGAGAATACTAAGCAATAGGATTTAGTTGGGAATTATTTCAAGCAAGCGTTACAACAACCATCATCCATAAGATACAAGTGTTTATATACAGTTGTCTATGCAAGATACTCCGAATCTGTTGGCCAGATAGCATTAGCAATCACCTATTGTACAAGAGAACAAACCAGATTCCAGCAAAGGAAGAAATTAGGAAGTGAATAGGATATACATGCAGAAAACCACTGGACTACATCACAAGGCAACCTCCCGATTGGAATCCTTAAGGCCAAAGGAAAAGAGGAAAACCAAAGAACACATTACGCCAAGAAATGGAGACAGACATGAAAAGACTGAACACCAATAGGATAAAACTGCAAAAAGAAGGTTCAGGACAAGGTAGGTTGGGGAACGCTGGTCAGTCGATTATTTTGTGCTGGTGATTCGAATCATTAAGGCAGCATCAATTCTGTTTTACTACACCTTTCCAACACGATGTCGATCTATGCAAAAATTAAGTTTGTAGTACTTTTAATCGATTACTTCTAATGAAATCGCTAGACAAAACCGATCGAACTAAACTTCACTAGAAGAGACCTTGAGTGAGGATCACTAATCAAAATGTGGCTTTTGTATATGATGGGTTAGAAAAATCGTAAAACTGTGAAATGCTCTTGTATCCTGACTCCTTACTTTTGTAAAAACTCATCTTTAAACTTTTCTGACTTTTCTGCATGTCATTTCGGGATCACAGTTATATATAAGATGTTTTTTTCTCGATGGTCCAATATCCTTCAGATGATCGACGATCATATCACGCACAAAATTAGTCAAAATGGCGGAATCCTTTGAAAAATCATATTCAGTAGTAACAGACTATCTTGCCACGCGGGTGGTTGCGCTAAGAGCAAGTGTACATTATATGCATATTAGAAATGCATGAGTCTACACTGTAGATAAAAACTTGTGATTTACATGTGAGAACACTTAATGCGGAAGTCAGTTTTATGTTTCTTGCACATTAAGAACACATAAGTTCTCATCCGTGTATCTTTTAGTATACACTCAGTTGTAATCGCCCTTTGGTCTCCACTTTCATGAAAGTATTTGCTACCGTAGACTGTCTCTCATGTAAACCACTGATACTCAAGTTTTAACCTAATCATAAGCATTATTTGCCCGCTTTTTTATTCGTAAGCGAAGGTTCACTCACAGTTCATATATATGCAAGCACACACAACCGCCGGGTAGTCTCTTCGGTTTTTCTAGGTTCGAACTTCCAAAGACTCTTTATCAGTGGTGGTGGTGGTGTTTGATTCTCTGAGCTGGATGTGATTTGGTTGTGAAGCTTTCATTGTTCTTCTACTGAACAACATCATCAACACAAACTTCGGATGGGGAAGTGAAGTATTCGAATTTCTCCACGCTTGACCTGTAGTTTGTTCTGTTAACCTGGATCTTGATTGGTTGCTGTTGACCTTAAACCTGTCGTTGTTTCCACTTTTGTTTTGATTGTATCCTCCTTTTTGATCTGTTTCTTGATCCTCTGCTTGCCTATGATTTTTCTGATTAGTTGATAAATTGGATCCAATGTCGATGTGTTGATGTTGATTACTGATTGACCAAGCTTCTAAAAATTCCCTAGTGTTCTTTGTCCTCCTCCTACCTTTATCAGTTACAGTATTAGAGTACGGGATAAGTCCCAATCTCCACCGAACGTGCCAAAGTTACCTAACAGACTTGCCCTCATTACCCAGCTATATGCTACAAGAAGAAGGATACTTTGATTGGTCTTTACTTGAACAAAAATCATTTTAAGTGTGTATACTTCAATTCTTCTAATCAATAGTTGAATTCAAGATGCATATTTCATTTCATATATTGCTTTCTCTGACTTGTAATATGAAAGATACATTCCAGCGCGAGTTCAATCTCCTATAAAGTAGGTGTGGTCGGCGGTGATTATACATGCACAGTATATTCGCAGTCGCATATTAAAATGAAATAGAGCTGTCCAGAGCTGTCATCAGATTTTTAATAATAGGCTAACTCTAACTAGAATCAAAAAACACAA